TGGTTGCTTTCGATTGTACCAACTTCCTGTCAATGTAAACAATAAAAAAAAAACACATTTGAATTAGTAATATGTTAAATGATGTCATATTTAAATAAAATTACACATTTTCGCAAATTGCTCAAATACCCTGAAGGTGCTCAAATATCTTTGGTTAGTTTAAAATCATTATCATTATTATCATTTTAACAGTATTATTGTTATTTCTCTAGCTCTTAAAATTAAGATACGACCCTGTTAGAATTAAAATACGATATGAAGGCTTTGGATTTTGACGCTTCCGTCTCTTTCTCTCGATCTATTTTATCATAGATCTAGGACGGTCTCTTCAGAGAGAACCAATGAGATTCCTAGAATATTTGTGGGCGTGTTTAACACGGTTGTCATGGGGGCCGGACCCGAAGGAGGCGGGTCTTCCGGGAGCATGTGCAGCCTGTCTGCTGCAGAGCTGGTGAATGGAGCCGGTGCACTGATCCCTCACGTGCGTTGTGAGAGAGTTATGTTTGCAGTTGTCAACACGCGCATTTGCTCACACGATGTATAAACTATTCCACCGCAGTGATCCACTTGATATCGTGCAGAAATGACAAGAATCAAAGAGCAGAGGGACAGTGCTCAGTTTGTCCAGTACATCAAACGTGTTCGTCACAATGAGAAACAGTGAGCGTAGTCTGCAAATGGAACATTTTGAGCTGTATGTGTTTATCTCTTTTTGCAGCCATGGATAAACCGAGCATTGCACCAAAATCAGCTGATCACAAGTTGAAAGCATCAGATTAATCCTGCTGGCTGAGGTCGTTTAGATAGATAACTAAAGAGACTAAGAAGCAATCATTTCGTGCAGCCATATATTGCCTGCAGAGGTGTCTCTCTCAAATCACCAACAATTAAGATAACAATGTAGATTCATATAAACGTGCAGCTGTAAAAGTTGGACATTTATGGTTTGTAAACAACAGAAAGATACAGTATTCTTCTGAGACGTCTCAATATTCTTGGCTGTTAGTGTCAGTGCTGAAACCTGATCCTCGACTTAAACAATGCCACTTTGAAATATTAGAGTGAGACCCCTGTCAAAAATGTAGCGTAGTTGTATTTCTGATCCACTAGATGGCCCTAGTGGCCCAGTTCGGCCTAGTTTGCCATCTATTCATGCAATTGGGCAATGGTAGATTAAATAAATCTACGTCCCCCCCTGAAAAGATAATTGTATATCTTCTATAGGTTGATATTGCATGATTTACTTTATACAAGTAAAAGCTATATATTTAACTTCCAGGCATTTTTCCCCTGTGTGTGTCTTAGCAGTGGTCACTTGACAGTATTTCAATATTTCACATGAATATTGTTTGTGCTAACAACCTGTGAACTCTCCTTACACACTGGACATCATCCCATATGAGCTACATAACTTCACATTATTAATTCATTGGTATTTAAGCCCTGACATTTTGTTTTACCATCAGTGGTGCCGTGCTCCTAACGGTGAATAATTTACCTTTGAATTTATATAATCTGACATCGTCTTCCATTTTTAATTCACTTGGCCTGTGAGCTGATAACAGGAGAACTGAGTTATACAGGGACATATCTCCATGTTTACGTTGAGGGAGGGATATGGTGGTGATAGTATGGAAAGTGTACACACACATACACCCATATACACACATATGCATACATATAATGCATTCCCTAGCCCCTTATCTGGACTTTAACCATCAAAACTATACCACACAGACACAGATATGTATATATACCACAGTTAGAGCAACAAATATAGATCAATACATATGCCACTACTTTCTTGGCAGCGGTCCCTGGTTCTGAAGAACCACTTAGTGTGGGAATCTCCTTCTTACTGCAACTACTACTTTTTGTTGAAAGAAAAATATAATTATCGTGTATGTATGATATCAACTGTGTTTTAAGATAAAACTGTTTTATTTTCAATGTCATGGAGAAATACTACTATACTCACAATCTGCAGGTTTAATAGCAAGGTCTTTTATTTGTGGAGCTTGCTGTTCCCATAGAAATGTTTATCACAACTTTATTAGCTTAATAATAGGTTGCTACACCGTGCACATACATATATATATATATATACATACACACATGAAACGTTATACATACAATACTCAAACTACTATGTATTGCAACATTATATCAACAACAAGGTTAAGTATAAGAACTAACTTGCTGAAAGTCATTGGAAAGGGATAATTTGCAAAGGTTTATGGGAAGTGTAGTTCCTCCACTCAAACAATTATATACACAGTTTTGTACCTCTGCATTTTGTCTGATTTCCAATATTTTTTCCTTCTGGAACTTCTTTAGAGACAATGAATAAGAAATGTACGCTTCACGGATGGATGATGGATGGAAGTCTGATTTGATATGATATTTGTATGGTCTCCAAAAGGTCACCCTCTTTATGTGTGTTGATTGCATACTGAACACACAATGGTGAGCATCTACACACTCCTATAACCCCCCCAGCAGACACACGAGTGCTTTATTCATGATCACACCAGCTTTTAGATGATATCCCTGTAAAGTGAATTATTCATGTAGCAAGTTACAGATGACTATCTATTCTCTTTATGTTGACATTCTTATCCCACCATTTACTTCCGAATAATTTAGAGCGTGCTGAACATTTTCCAGCAGTATTGCTATGACACTGTGTCATGCAAGGATAATAGAAGAAATACCATCTGAGTTTTTCATGCTTCTCTCAATCCTAACATGGAGCTCTCCACATTCAAATTCAATTCGACTACGAGGTGCATTTAGAGACAGTCGGAATGCTAACGTCTGTTAGCTTAGCCACTTCTGGTGGACTTTTAGGCTAAAAACACGGTATAACTGTTTCCACTCAAATTTGAATGTCGGGGCTTGCAGACACTTGGATGACACCACATGTGTTGTTTGGAACACTGTTTAGCTCTGAGACTCCTAAAGTGTTTTGTGGACTCAAACACTTCACCCACCCCTCCATCGACATAGTGGTTAGAAGATAATGAGTGCATTTTTATGTCTGGGTGAACTTTCCCAATGTAAATTATATAAACCAAACCATATATCATATCATGAAATAAATATAATTGTGCATCATAACTCCCTGTGTGTGTCTCTGAATTTGGTTATAGGATTCATCAATTACTGCTGTATCATAGTATCACAGTTTCCTAAGACTGCTGTCCTAAAGGATTACAGGATGACATCAGAACAATGATCATTAGCTTCATATTTGTCTTTTCTTTATATTTGACTGCCTGTAAAGAAAAATGATGAAGGAGAAGAAGACAGAAGAAATGATGCTGGGAGGCAAAGCGCTGCACATCTAAAAGCAAAATCAACATAAACAATAAATCATAGAATATAACGATTTGTTAATTGTCTGTTAAATACAACACAGGAGAAACCATTGATAAGTAACAGTATCATTTCTGTATTCAACAGTGTTATTAAGGATTTACCTTTATTTTGCTCCAGGCTGCTATAGCAGGTGATTACCAATCCAGAGTCTCAGAACAGTGTTGAACACAGTACACTTGTACAGTGCATGTACTTCCTCTTTTTTCAGTTGCATCCATGACAATGTGCAGAGAATCATTCAAAAGTGTTTGGGAAGCCACATTATGCAACAGTGTTATTGTGTACGTGGTCATGAGACAGAAGAAAGAAAGTATTTGTATTTAGATAGCAAACATTTTAACTTCAACTACGCTATACACATACGTGTGTGAAGACAATTAAATTACATGTGAACAGTGTCTTTTTTTAAATTGTGTAAGAAACAAACACACTTTAGTCAGATAAGTTGTCAGACAACCTGCAAGATGACCTTTATTGAAGACATTTTTCTGTAAGTGCTTGTAAAAAAAAAAATCCTGCGTTGAAATTGGCAGGTTGAAGGCTTGGATCAGTCGTGTCTCAAAGAGAATCGGACAATCGTTCAGTATAAAACAATTTGAAAATGTATGTTTTATCCCTTAAAGCACATTATTGTTCTTATATAGTTTAGGTTCAGTTGCAAAAATCTTTCCAATATGCATCTTTCATTTTCAGATTTTTTAACTTCCAATAACTGATTGATCTAGGTGGGGTAAATGAATCAATTAACTCACAAAATTCAAGATCCTAAAGCACAACAGAATCAATGATGGCCAACAAAGCGTCTTTACTGTTAAAACAAGGCAAACAAAGCAGGCAACAGTACAAAAGGGTGACAGGCAGTCAGAGTCAAAGTCAAGCAGGCCCGGCAAACAGTCGGGAGCAGGAAAACTTAGGAGATTGGCAATGAGCACGAAGACAATCTGACAACTGATGAGTGGAAACACAGAGATACAGTAAATGTACAGAGGTCACAGATGGGTAGGTGGATGGGAACAGATGTGTGCAGGGGTGGAATATCCAGCATGGGGTTATCTGGCAGAGGGGCGTGGATGGGTCTGAAATTTACTTGAGTAAGTGACGTCTATAGCTTAAAAATAAACATTGTTTCAGAAGCAAGGAAAAGCTTTGTCCTCTCTTTAACATGTTTATAATCATGAAAACTGACCCACCTCTATCTCCATCCACCCTTCAGCCACTCGCTTACTGTACGTTACACTATTGCTACAGCAATAGGAGTAATTCATGTATATTGTACACATTGGAATCGGAAACCAACTCCGAAAGATTAAGAAGACGAAACCCTCGCTGTCCGAATTCTTCTTTTGAGACTGTCAAGGTGGAAATACTCAGGTATGGCGTTGAATGCTCATCTTGCTCATAATATATGTGTTGTATTCTATAAAAAAAACATGTAGATATGTTAACAAGGTTAAAAACTTTCATTGAACCTCAAGTTAGTTTTGTCAATTATATCATGAGATGTTAAAAAGCAGCAACGCACAGAGGTCGTTATTATGTGCAACCTCAAATATTCTCTGTGTTTTTGTCAGTGAAATCTTTATTTAAGTCCATATCGTGTCAAATGATAAAATAGTTTTTTAAGGAGTATGTGGTTTATCAATAACCACATTATATATGTGCTGCAGTTCATCCATTGAACCCTTAACAGTGCTTTTATGTGGAGGAGTCCTCTGCTTAGCAGTGGTTTTGTGGCTGTGATTGTTGCACAGCGGACCCGACCGCCTGCTGCCTGACTTGGACAGCTCGGATAATGAGTTAGAACCACAAGATGATCTGTCCGTAAACAGGCTTTGGCTTGAGGTGGCAGAAGTAGGGATGTGATAGGGGCTGAAACGCAACCAAGGCGACCGGGAGCTGCGGAAACAGTGGTTTCTGGTAGAAGTGGGCAGAGCCGGGTTGATCACTGCAGGTGCTGCCATGTAGTGGTACGGATACGACAGCAATCCTCCAAACGGTGACAGTGCGAGTCCCTGAATGAAAGAATCAAATTAGTTGCAACACAGCAACAAGCCCACCGTGCAAACTGTTAATTCACATCCTGTCTTACCAGGAATCAAGCTGATCTCCTTACTTGAGCCTTTCAGCCCAAACTATATTAGTTACAGTAGCTGAACCTATAGCTGCTGCATGTTCACGCTACCAGGCACTCGCAGCTCTGCTCGTTATATATTTTTGTTAAAGTAACTTCTTCAACAACTCTTGGATCATTTTTTTCTCTATTGGATGAGAGCAAATACTTCTAAATATTATTTTCCAACCTTTTTTTTTTAGGTTAATCCAGTTGACAATTGGGCGAGGTACACCCTGGAGAGGCGGCCAGCAAATCAAAGGGCCACATACAGTTTTCAACCTTTGGATTGAGATTGAAACTAGAAACATTCTTGCTGTGAGGCGAAAGTGCTAACCACCGCTCCACTGTGCCACCCATTAAAACTGAAAGCATTACGTCATCAAGCACTTAAAAAATGCAAAGGGTCTGTACATGGACTTCATTTTCTGATTCCAATGTTCTCTCAAACAGTTTGCCTAAAACCCAAAAGTCTGAATGCTTTTCATAACTTAGGTGTACTCATCCCATAGCGAGCAATACAATTTTTGATATCTATTTCTCTATGTGTGATGTTAGAGTTCAGAATGGTACCTGAGATGCCAGCATGTGCTGTGACAGGTGGAACATGAAGGGAGATGGAGAGGTGACGCTCTGGGGAGACAGGCCTCCGTTTTCTAGTTCATTTAGTCCAGACAAAGAGGAAAATAGATGTCCCATACCCGCAGCTGGGAAACTCTCGGGTTTCTGTCCCGGATGAAACAACAAGGGTGCCCCAAGCTTAAGAAACTGTTGGGCATGTGCACCTGCAAAATCCAAAGTCTGATGGTGACTGTCCCTGAGGGAGGACGGACTCTGCGCTTGTGACATCACAGGCACGAGCCCGTCTTCAATATCACTCAGGTGCTTTTTTGAAGAGTCCATCTCCACGCGATACATCTCATCTGAGGTTCTACACGCTGCTCTGTCTTTTGTTGCATCCGGATTGTCGTTACTCTTGCAAGGAGCTGACATGTTCCGCAGCAGCTCCTCACCTCTCAGACTCAGAGTAGATGCATGTTCATCCCTGGAGCAGCTGGCTTCTGCACTGTCCTCCTGTTCTGAATCACATTCAGTGTTGTTCTCATCTGCAGGGAAATAACATGCTTCATTTTAAATATGTACCTAGTAGCCAGTGTTGAAGAGTCCATGTTGAATCATAATAGTTTCTAAGTAGTACATGTTTCTTCTATTGCTGATCAAAACACATTGACTTTGTTTTTATCAGTGAAGCATATATACAATACATGCTGACACACAATTTAATTGACATTTTTTATATCTGAAATCAATATTTTCAGCATTAATTGAGATAAAGGTTGTCACAAATTGTTTTTAATGTCCATATAAATAATCATAATGGAGCTTTTCAGTGATTTTCCTACAAATGATGCTAAATTATTATTATTATTTAAAACATCTCAAACTTAATATTCAGGGGGTGTTTTTGTACACCCTGAAAATGCTTAGGAATATATATTTATTAAAATGTAACATTGCTAGTTTGTGAAGCATAATATTGCAGTGTTGTTCTAAATATATTGGATCAACACATTCCTATATAAAATGATTTGGGTTCACAGACATGCTGCTATTTCGGCTTGATAACGGCATTAAAAACTGCAGGTTAACCCACCAAAGCAGGTTGGGGTGGACATCAGGGGGCTGCTCACCAGCTCCAGAGGGGGACAGAAGGAATCACCGGTACAGGGCTGCTCACACGAGTTCTCAGAATCTGCACTGTCCCGGTCCACTCTGCTCTGGCTCTCATGCACCATAGACATGTTCAGCTGATTATTCCTGCGGAGTACACGTCTATATTAAGAGCCTTATTAAAGCCTTATATACAGGTGCTGTATGTGCTTTGTGGTGGCAAAACAATCACCTCTTTTCTCGCTTCCCATTCCCAGTGTCTCGGAATCCTTTGGCAAAGGGGTTATTGTCAATTTTCAGCTGCGTAATCTCATGGAGAGAAAAGACAATACTGAAAGTTAGTCATTTCAAAAACAGGCTGACAGATTAAGAGAAGCATTATTATGCACAAATGTGAGGCCAGTAAAGGCCCATTTTCCCAAAGGACTCTGGACTCGTGTTATAACTGCGTGCAACAATAGATCAGGTCTGCTGTGACTGTGTGTGGGCGTGCATGTGAAAGGGCAGGGGAGGGGAGAGGATGGTGGGGCGGAGATGGGGGAGGGCGGGGGTTTACCTTTTCATTCTGATAGGCAGTGACAGCGATGAACTCTGTCTCAGGGAAAACATAAGTCCGAAAGGTGCTGTACGGAAGCTTCATTATGTCGTTGGCCCTGACGATGTGAAACCTGAGCTGGTATTTATGCATCGAGTTCAAAATTGTCTGAGAAGTTGAAGACATGAGACACATGATTCAAATTATTATAGGTTAGTGATATAATATTGAAAAAAATAGGGAACAAGCTAATCAACATTGTGAGTTTTACTGGAATAAAAGTCCCATAAGCCCAAGCAATTCAAATTTCAATAAGTAGGCCATGCAACTTACAAATCCGTGCTTATCCGAAATATTATTGGTGAGTTTGAGTTTATGGAAAGCGACGGGCTTGCTCATCCACTGCTCCCCTTTGGACGGGCTGTCTGGGTGGATGTACATGCGCTTTGCCATCTCTGGGTCAGCCTTCCCGGCCACCGTCCAGCGGGAACTGTGGAACTTGTAGCGGCAGTTGTCGACGGCGATGATGTCCATCAGCAGGATGTACTTGGCTGCTTTATCGAGCCCCTCCACCCTCACTTTGAAAGGCGGGAACATCCTCCTGTGGTGAAGAGTCACCCATGAAACTGATGGGTTGTGTTGGAAATAATTCTGACTTTGTGTAATTTGGGATTTATCATTAATCCTTAAAGATTTAGAGGCCGGATTACATGAGAATTTAACATTGTAGTGTAACTGTAATATAACTTTTTTAACTATTCCTATATAGTGTTTGTATCATTGACCTTGTTAAATTATTCTCATTTGTACAGAATATGTGGTGATTAGAGTATTGGGGGCTTTGGCCAAAAAGTGTTATGGATAAAAATGGTCATTTTAGTGAATATCATTAATTATCATGATAAATCATTGATAAATAATATATTATTTTTGTTCATGTGAAGGTTGAGATTTTAAACTCTTGTTTTTGGACAGATAATGACAAACACTTGATAAACAGCTAAATATTCTACAAATCAGAGGTGGAGTATTAAAAACAATTATGTATCTTATCTCATCAATGTGCTTGCACAATGCCAAGCAATATATTTTTTACTGATAATTTGTGTTTTGGGCTTTCCGTGTACTATGTGCCTTTTTCTGTGTTTTTATAGAACTGAATTTGTTTTTTGTGTGCCAGGGACTGCAGATGAAATGAGCCTGTACATTTACATGTTGAACTTGAGTACGTATGTCAATGAATGTGCATTGTCCCAACATAAGTTAAGATAATTGAACCATTGCTGTATCGCTATTGGTGAAAACTATTTTAGGATAATATTTGGTGTCACTTATCGAGCAGCCCCAGTGCTGTATCTGACTTTAAGTTTCCATTGCGGCACTTTCTCTGAATGAATGAATAGGAGTTTGCTGAGCCTACCTTCCAGACTTTGTAATGACCATCTCAGTTCCCATTTTGTGAAATTCATTCCACAAACTCTTCGACTCCAGAGTGACGCTCGGGTCATCATCCAGCGCCGCCACCTCTGGCTGCAGGCTCGTCGTGGACCGCGGTTGGAGGGTAGGATGCTGGCGGCGCAGAGCTGCGCGCAGCCCCGCGTCAGGGGCAACCTGCTCCGGGACGGGCTCGGTGAGAGAGGCGACGTCTGGGAAAGCCAGCGCGGTGAAAAACGAGGGCTGGGCGGCGGTCAGGAAGGCTGACAGGGGCAAGGCACCAGGTCGACGAGCTTGGAAGGTATTGTACGCCATTGCAGCCGCTGGTTGTCAACTGGATCTCTCATCGGGACATCCGATCAGACAGGTGTCAGCCCCACTTGCTGCTGCTGCTGCACGCGTCTAAATCCAAACTGCTTTAAGAGTTTGTGTTTTGCATGGTAAAGAGGTCATGAGAGGAAAGATACTGGAGCAAAAGCAAGAATAATCCTAGTATATTCGCTGGTACAACCGAGGAGAGGAGTGCGCACTTTGGAACCATGTGCCAAACAGCAGAGAGTGCGCACAGAGAGAGGGAAGGTGATGGTGTTTAATCTGTCACACTTCTGTCCTTCCCAGCACACGCACGGACACACTGATGCAATAAAGATTTCTCATCGTCTCTTTACTCTATTTCTCCAATTACAGAGGCGCTGGGCGGGGTTTGCAGCGCTCAGGCTCGAGGACTACAGAGGGATTTGAGGATCAGATGGGGACAGCGCGCGCAAATAGTCTAATAGCACAGCGTGGATAAAAGAACTGGTGACCACCCTGCGACACTTGTCAACATGTTGACGTTCTGACCCCCCAGAAGCACCCAGTTCATAACATGACCTCTATTGGGGGCAGGGAAGGGGGGGGGGGGGCACGTCTCCAGATACCTTGACTATCTTTTACACATCTGTTAAGTTTCCTGGCTGCATCTGTAAGTTTTAAGACACAAAGTCTGCACAGACAGACCCACACCAACGAAATACTCCACACTAGGTCTGCAGGACCACATTCGACCATGATGGCACACACAGCCACACGCATGCACGTACAAGGTGAAAACAACACCAGCCCTGATGTCTTTGCGACTGGTAACAAATATATCTGAAGTAATTTCGTCTATTTATAAAGTTGTATATACACACAAATATGAATTACCTCTGTGCCACAACGTTATGAATATTATGCATATGAGACAATTTCTTTCTTCATGCATTTATAACATTAAGCTTTCAATATATATACATATATTAATTATAAGCCATCACTGTGCCACAACGGTATAAATATATATATATATATATTATAATAAGTATTCCTCTTTTTTTTAAAACACAGGCAGCAATCTAAATTTTCAATTGTTTATTATTATTATTATTATAGAGGTGATCATCCTACATATGATGCTAATTTACCTCTAATTTCACGAACATGTTATTGGATTGTTAAATTTACTATAATCGATTTCCCTGTCCTACACTTACACTTCCAGCAACTTACATCACGTGAAACTGTGAAGTAAGCAAAAACAAAACATGTAAATGTGAATAGGCCTATGTGTTTGATGAGGTGGGAGCGCATGGGGCGTGTTGATTTAGGGGGACTCGGCGCCGCTTTACTGCCATCCCACAAAGAGCCGAGGGGGCTCTCGAACCTGTCACTTCACATTTGAGCAACTCTCCAAATCCTCATGTTGCCTGTTCCACTTTTCCTCCCGGTGCAGCCCACGAGCCACACTACTGTGGGCTCTGTGAACCAGGAGAGAGAGAGACTGTATCAATAATGAACACATCCAAGAATGTACAGGAGGCAGCAGCAGACATGGAGGAAGTCATGGACTTCAGGAGAAATACATTAGAGCCATTTAATTCAGTGTTGGTTTGAGGTGGCTTCAATAATGCTTAATAAAACCCCATTTTTTTTGCAGTGGATTATTATTACAAAAAAATCCTTCTTGTTTAAGACCATGATATTATTCATTTATCTGAGTTGGTGAAATGTGAAAGGTTTTTCAATGTTTAATTATCATGAGAGAGTCTATTTTTAATAAAATAGTAAACACATACAATTTAAATTCAACAGCAGTTTGAATTTTCTTATTTTGATAGTTTTATTATCAGAGTTGAATTAAAAATCTATATTAAAACCTCCACATCTTTAATGTCCCTGATTGCATTTTGGAATCACTGCATAAAGTGAGGAAATAGGTTATATTTATTTTCTCGTAACTTTTCCTTTTAAAAAAAATATTATTTAAAATAAGATGGGATGTGTCTATGACCAAACATGTCATTTACTTTAATTCAACTGGAAATCCTTATGATCAGTGTTAGGAATAAACAGGAAAATCATGGCACTTGTGTGACTTTGTTAATCTCATAACTACGTGAATGGAGAGACTATATTGTTTAATTTGATCTCTGACTTTACAGCTAGTATATAAACATCTGGGTGTTTTTCTGCCTCTTGAAACTGAAACAGAGAGTCACAGATGCATTGGATGCAAAGTTTGAGCTCCACTGTGGCTTTAGTGAAGCTCTTTCCACCCTCTCTCACTCTCACATTCTGAATTTACCATTTTACATTGTTAAGCTAACTATAAATCATAAGATGTAATTTTTTTGCACTTTTGCTTTGCACCATTAGGATTATTTTTTCTTTTCTTTGTGTGGAATGTAATGTAATATAATCAATGGTATAATTTGCCTGCTAGGTTTCGAAATGAGACATGAGTATGTAAATAAAGCACTATTTGCTGCCATACAGATACAATATCTTAAAGTACTGCATATGTGTATATATACAGATTTAAATGTTACAAAATAAGTAGAAATAATGTAAATATATGAAACATGGGATTTGTTTAGGTAATACAGGCAAAAACAGCTGAATGGTTTGTGATCTGTAACTCTCAGGGCAGGGAACGATCTAACTTCGCACAAAAAGATGAACGTTTCCCAAGATGGTAAAGGGTAATAACTTGTAATCAGAGCACAGGACATGAGCAGAAAAGCATGTTGGAGAGAAGGGTTAGAGGACATCAGTGTATATTTCCTTCCCTCCTTCCTCACATTCATGAGGTTGCCATGTGGCTGCTCACACAACACTGTTCTGTAAGTTTTGGGGTCAGAGAGGAGAGTGACAGTGATGGTCGGGTCTGCTTTTTCTCAATCAGCGCTATAATATGAGATACAATGTGACACACTCCACCATTTTTTCCCCCTCTGTTACCGACAGCATGAGAGAAGATGCAGAACAGGAAGGAGACGATCAATGTGAGTGATGGTGCATGAATTTCACCTCTCTGGTCACACCTGGGACAATGCAGAAGAATGTTGGGCCACTGAGGGGTTCCTGACAAGTCAAGCAGAGGACAAGCAAGTAAAGTACATCTGAAGGTTGTCAATGACAAGGAAGAGGATGAAGATGATTCTCTGGATTTAAGGCTGAGCAGAGAGTCTTTGGACCTGGAACCTCAAGTGTTGTCTTGGCTCTGTAGTATCTTGTTTTCTAACCCTGACATCATATTGGTAATTTAATAGACACAACATATGGATCTGTTTATCTTGACTAGGAGATCTAGATGCTGGGATTATAGTTGCTCTGAAACGGAGGAAAAAGGAGGCTGATTTACCACAAAAACTGTGAAAACATTCTTTTTTTTCAATAATACATAATACAGATGATTCTACAAGTGTGTGGATACATGGAAATGTCCACACTTATTGAGTATTTCATTATAATATCAGCATTAAGGTTTTTTATTCCCAAAAATTGCACTTTCTTTCATCCAGCATGTTATACCGCAAGGATACATACAAATTATTTAAAATTTACATTAAAAAGCCAGATGGAGAAAATCTCTTACTGAAGATTTATTGTAGAATGACATCATGACAAATGCATGGTTAATTACACTACACTGTTTTCTTGATTTACAGGGGGACATAAAGTAGCCTATATGGAGTGAAAACAGAACTTGTCCATTACAGACTTATTGTAACATGGAAGGGGCATTTCCTGTCTCTGTACTTGTCCTAAATGTCCATCTCAGATTTATCACCATCTTCAGGGACATCTCTAAAGCTCCTCTCCCAATGGTCAAAAAACCCACCAACACCCACTAACATCTGCCAATTGTGTGCGATGGGAATGTTTTCCTGCTTCAGGCACTGGTTGACGATGTGTTGGTTTCCGGTGAGTTTGTGACATTAAACATGATGATGGAGGCAAACTCCACCGGTAATGTCAATTTAAAAAAAATTATATACCTACTTATTTTGGTATAATAATGGTATTACTCTGGTTCTATAAGTCTCATTTATAGAGGCCTTCAATTCTAGTAATCTAAACCACAAAACATATAGATACAACAATACATGCAATCAATATTTTGTGAATAACCAGTAAATATAACTCAGAAAAAGAGTATGAGACTGACGTGTTCTTTTGTGTTGACTCCGTTTTCCCTGCTGTTTTCAGGATGTGGGTGTTCCCCATTTTTCCACCATTTCAACAAAACACCTAATCACTCGACAATCAGCTCATCCAGCCTGCTGTGGTGTACAAAGAGCAGTTCATGCCACAACATCTGTGTGCTGAGGCTGCTGGAAGTGGATTCTGACAGCCGGAGCACTCACCTGTCCCGACTTCTGGAATCAGTGAGGATAGTGGTTCAATTTTCATCTCCCCTACTCAAAGTATCTCTGGGCAATATATTCAAATTACTCTGACAGCTGAGAGGTAATCGAGAAAAGTATATAAATACAGAAATTTACCATTTACTTTCAATCTGTGTGAGCGAGGGGGCAAATGAAACACTTACTTCCTGCGGCGAGGCAAAACACAGCGCGGCTTTGTGTGGAGTTCAACTCTGGTGAACTTTGACCTGTGATGTTCACTTCTCATTCATTTATGTGTGATTGTGCCCAGAACAGAATCCCAAAGCCCCAGTGGAGCTGTAGACTCATAATATTGCTTTATTATTGTTGCTCCGGTACATAATTAGGTGGACAATGTTAGAAATCAGTCAACAGTATTTCCACAAAAATCTCTGCAATTACACAAAAATTACTGAACACACATATCTGTGGTGTCTTAGTAATTGTATGTCTATTGAAATGCTATTGTGTTATAATTGCATTGTGATTCTTGCTCCCCACCAGGATTTATATTCTTCTGGTCTATCGAGCAATTAAACATAGTGGATTGAAATGATCAACTTCATCAAAGCAGCTTGGTTTAACACCACAAGTTTTTTTTTGTACACCGACTTCCAACACATG